CCTAGCTTTTGCCCCTCTTCTCCGTGTATATCTCCGTCGTCGTGATCTCTCTGCATATGCACAGTGCTACTATACCCATGCATGCATCAGGGATTGATCAGGGCGCCGCCACTTTGGGGTTTCTATTCTTTTCTCGCACGCCGCTGCATCCGCTGATGATGTTTGGGACGGCAGTAGTAGGCTCGCGCGCGGCTGCTTCTGCTACTACGACATACTATTCTGCTACTACATCTCGTGCATGCTTCTGCTGTTCTCTGCAGCGCTGTATAGTACAAGCTCTTTGTGTCTCACCGTTTCTAGGGCACACCATGCGAGTCCTTGGGGATTCTGTGCAAGTACAGCAGGGAGGAGTAGTAGTAGTAGTAGTGGCGATCACATGTCTCTGCCTGATCACGTCTTCATGGACCAACTATTTGGATATATTCACGCATGTGTCAATTGTCATGTGTACTCATGTGTGTGCTATACTCAATTTGATCATTGCATGTTTATGTGCATGCCTTGCAATTGCATATTCTTTTTTGAATTGGAGATCGCTGCTATGATGGCAGATGAATAGTAGTGGCCCAATTGGAGGCCCCTGAAGAAGAGGCTTTTGCAGCAGGGTGCAATGATAGGAATTCCCCTCCATTTCGCCTGCTGCAATCCCCGTGGCTAAGGCCGTGTTTAGTTCTTCGGCTAAAACTTTTTTAAGTATACAAACACACATTTAAAGTATTAAATATAAACGAATAATAAAATAAATTACAGATTTCACCTGTAAACCACGAGACGAATTTATTAAGCCTAATTAACTGTCATTAGCAAATGTTTACTGTAGCATCACATTGTCAAATCATGGCGCAATTAGACTCAAAAGATTCGTCTCGTAATTTACATACAAACTGTGCAATTGGTTTCTTTTTTCGTCTACATTTAATGCTTTATGAATGTGTCTAAATATTTGATGTGACATTTTTGACCAAAAATTTTTGGATCTAAACACACCCTTAATCTGGATACATCAATGTGAGTGCCTGCAGCAGCTAGCTAGCAGCAATTTGTTCGGTTTGCCAACATCTTTTGCAACCCCCCACTTTTAGTTTTTTTTTCTCAGTGAAAAATCATACTCCCATATTTACCCGATTTTTAAGTTCTTTTTCTTGGAAAAGATCAGTACGGCCTCGTGAATCCTGCATTTCTGCGGAAGCCGCATCATTGCACTGCATGCATAAGCTTATTTGTGATTATATCCACTTTAGAGAAATGCATGTTACTTCTGACATTTTCAATTAAATCGCCACCCAAATATGTGTTAATATAGATATTTGCCAACTGAATACTCCCTGCCGAAGAATATAATAAGGACATCTAAAGTTCAAAATTCGTTTAATAATATTCTATCCGTTTCAGGTTATAAGACGTTTTTTTGACTTTGGTCAAAATTAAACTACTCTAAGTTTGACTAACTCTATAGAAAAATATAGTAATATTTACAACACTGGCATAGTTTCATTAAATCCATAATTGAATAAATTTTCATAATATATTAGTCTTGTGTTAAAAATATTATTTCTTTTTTCTATAAAATTTGTCAAACTTAAAGTAGTTTGACTTTGACCAAAGTCAAAACGTCTTATAACCTGAAACGGAGTGAGTACAAGATATCCTCACCTAATATAGTTATCGTTATCTTAACCAATTACAACTTTCACTTATTTAATTTCCTCAACTATTTTCTATCACAACCATTTCTCACCTAAACCATAATCTCTTAAAAAAAACTCCATATGTTCTTATATTCCTGAACAGACTGAGTAATAAACGCAGACCATGTTGGTTTGACCCTGCTGAGTTATCTGTATACCTTTTCTAATCTGTTTAAGCTTATAAGAACTAATTAGTGCATGAAACTCAATAGGCTTTCAAGCTAAGATGCGTTGAGTTTGAGATCTTGTGGTAGGGTTTCAAAATGCGATGATAATTGATAAGTTATCATGGTTATCGGTCTTATTGAACCGACCATTTACGAAAGCCTCTCCGTAAACTAGCCAAGTTAAAGAAAATCAAACAAAAATTCAATATTTTGGCAAAAAAAAATCCAAATTTAACCGCTCGATTATCGATGAAACCGCCAGGGGTTATTGACTACGTACCGGTTGCATTTTAAAACCTTTCCCGGTGAATCATGTATGTAAGTATGAGGTTCAGATGCTTTCAAAAATAAAAACTAGTTATTTGATTGTTTTTTTAAAACCTTGCTACATAATTTTTTTTCAGCAGCAACTAGCTACTTCCTCAGTCCCAAAAAAATAAATTAACCTTATATTGGATGTGATTTAATCTAGTACCACGAATCTGGATAACCTCATGTCCAAATTTATTGTGCTAGATTAAGTTCATGTCCAAATTTATTGTGCTAGATTAAGTCGCATTCAATTTTAGGTTTGTTTTCATGGGTTAGAGTGCGTAGCCCGACCCATCAACCATGGGCCACCCATGTCACATTAGGCCTGCTCCCCCACAGGCTAAACATGAGCCACAACTTTAGGTCCTGGACCAACAAACTCAAAAGATTAGTCTGATGGGTGATGACTGCCCCACCTTTTAAGTCGTACTCCCCATCATTAATTATTGATATGGGACTAAATCCAACAATCTCCCCGTCACACATCGGGAACAACAATCTTCCCCGTCACATCAACCCATGTGACCCTGAAGACTTATTACCTGGCCTCGGGCCCAACAATCTCCCCGTCACATCAACCCATCACCTATGTGACCTCGAAGACTTGTTACTTGGCCTCCTCACCATGTGACCCATGAAAATCGTTCCGGGTTCTAAACTTGGGCTCTGATACCACTTGTTAATGTGCGCAGCCCGGCCCACTGACCGTGGGCCACCCAGGTCACATGAGGCCTGCTCCACCACAAGCTCAACCGGAGTCACAACTTTAGGTCCTGGACCTACACAACCCAAAAGACTAGTCTGATGGATGAGGACCGCCCCTACCTTTTAAGTCGTGCTTCTCCATCATCAATTACCGTTCATTGGGCATTTGGGCTGAGTACTGTTTCACTGAGTGAGTTGTTCACGGGAAGCAACTGTGGACGGCAAGGACAAGTTACAACGATGCATTTTCTGAAGTATTGGGATGGCTTGTGCATGGAACAAGCTGATTGCATGCTACGTTAGTTATGCACAGGGATTTGGTTAGTTGGGACCATGCTGTGTGTAATGGTTAATTTGTACATGAGGTAAAGCTGAGGTGATATGGCAAGCCAAAGTATTGGTTCGGCAAGATTGCAAGGGTGGCTTAACTTAGTTATGCAGTTGTACGAGACAGTTAGAAATCCCGGGAAACAGTGGGTGAAAATCGTTGATGGAATCAACGGGCCGTTTGGCAGTACAGGGTATATCCAGAATCTGCGGGGCTTGCATAATGGGGATATATAAAATATGCGTCACTAAAGATGAAGAGCAATCGCTATGTTGGTAATTTCTTCGGGTGATTTAAGGCAATGGTGAATTTTCTCAAATTATCGGATATTCAGTCTACGGATGCGGAAAGCGTGGATGTTGGATTTATTAGCTCGGTTCATAAGACAACAAGAAAGAAAGGGTTCACTACATGTCTGGTGAGTTTGATTTATTTATTTGGTGATGACGTCGGTTATCTGGCCATGGATTAGATCAAGTCAACTTTAAGACGGTAGATGGAGTTGAACATGGTCTTCGGGGAAGTCTATGATGTGACAGTTAGGAAGGAATTCCATTTTGTTTGGCAAGACGACTGTGGTAATAGGTGAGAAGGTGGAGCACTGTTGTAGGTGGAGTCAAGAAGAAGAAATTACAGGGATAGCAGGAGTTGACTCTTGTTATGGTGAGCCTGGTGGAGTCTTATCGGGGCGGCTCGGCGTGAACGGCGAAAAGGGATCAACTCAATTTCAGGTGCACGGAGTTTCGTGCAAAGAACAAATTCAGGTTGGCGTGGCATATTCATCAAGGTGGAGTTTGTTAGAGTTTGTGTTGAATATGTGTACGCAATCGGTTACAGTTTAGGACTTGGAGTTGTACTAGGTGTTAGGATTAGAGTAAGAGTCGGACTCTATCCTAGGCTCTCTCATAAATAGAGGAGCGTGCCTGTTGTAACCGATAGGGCGACATAGCATGCGAGAGGGAGTGGCTGCCGGCTATGAGTCGTTGTAACTCTGATACACTGTAATATGCTGGATCGGGGAGGAGCGTCCATAATTAATGCCCTGGAGATGTAGGTCTCGGCTGAACTCCGTTATCAAATATCACGCCTCGGTGTCGTCACCATGTTTAGATCTCCTATGGTGTTTCTTCCGCATTTGGTTTCCGATGTGATTTCGGGACCGGCTTTATAACACATGGGATGGGAGGTAGGTAGGTGAGACCAGGCAGTACTGCAGTCAAATGTTTTATTATTGGTTTAATTGTGGATATTAATTTGTGAATAAACATCAAAACCAGTCCCTTTCGGAAGACACACGTACCCTAGATATACATACGCACCCAATAAAGTAGGATAGTGATGATTCAGGAAAAGACTAGAGTTGATTCACATAGGTGCGCATCACAGAGAACTATGAGCACCAGTATGATCTTTTGTGAGGAGCATCTATCCAAAAGTCATATAAATGATCTGGCAATTGCAGGGAACAAAAGGTACAATCAGTGCTATCCTGTACGCGGAACAATCGCTGCAATAATACATGCGCCCAGCCTGAAAAAGCCCTGCTGATCACAGATTCAAAGTAGTGGCCAAAAGTTTCTGGCTTACACAACACTAAAGTTGCAATTAACTAGCTAATCTGGTATAGAAACATGAAACATATATATCGACTGAAACAGGAAGCTCGTGGCACTGATGAAAGTTCAAGAACCAAATATCATAGCAACAGCGTTTCTCATAGAAAACATGATTAACGATTAATCAGTTGTGATCCGACATCTATATAAGTAGTACACATATCAGCTACAGAAGGCAGATCCGACATCTTGCCAAGAGCCGATAAATTAGCATGCACTATACCTAGCTAGCTCAAGGAGAGGGCAACAGCTACTGAAGCAGGCACTGTACCCACGACACAATTTGAGCAAAAAGCCCTTTAAAGGGCAGCCTAGACTCCAAAGTCCAGAGAGCCATAGCCCACCACTTAGACCCTGAAAGCATCAAACCCTATCAAAAATTGACACCAAAAAGACAGGGAGAGGAGATCTATCCCAAGAAATCCTATGTCCCAAGAGCCACTTTGATCGATTGGCGATAGATAGAGATCACTACTACTGCCACAAACGCCACACACGATATAGCTATAGCCATATGCATACTTGCATGGAAGGAGGTGGCCAACTGGGGACTTGTCTTCCGAATTTCTATCTTTTGCCAGATCACCACGGCATGCCTCTTCCTCCTCCACTTCAACTACCGTGCCATCCGAAGCTACTCCAGATGCCATTCGACCAAGAAGATCAGCCCGGAATCCATGGCGTGATGCTCTCTTCTGACCACTGCGGGCTGTACCCTCTGCCGGCGCTTCCGTTAAGCAACTCCGCCGCCGCCGCCGCCGCAACCGTCGCATTGGGGAAGCACAGTGCAGCCGCCGGTTCCATGCCCAATATTGGCGGCGCTGAGGAGGTAAACTGGCTGGGCTAGATTTTATTCTGATTATCAACAAGGTCTCTTTTCTTGTTCCTTACTAATTCTCATAGAGTATGATCTTGTTCTTCAGGTGGCCACCACTGTAACCAAAGCTGGCAATGAGAGTACTACTTGCAATGGCTCCACTACATGGTACGCGTGCATATAGTGAAAACATAAGATAGATGCAAACCCATGCTGAGATCTCCAGTTGTGGGAGCTTGCAGGTGGAGGGGCTCGACGATGGCGGCGATGGGGGAGAAGGGGAAGATGAAGATCAGGAGGAAGATGAGGGAGCCGAGGTTCTGCTTCCAGACCAGAAGCGAAGTGGATGTGCTGGATGACGGGTACAAGTGGAGGAAGTACGGACAGAAGGTTGTCAAGAACAGTCTCCATCCCAGGTACATATGCTCAACTTAACCAAAACCCTACATATTTGATTTCTTATATCATTTATACATATGTGTAGATAATAGATTCCCCGTTTCTTATCAATTAACTAATTATAAACATAAACAGAAGAATGTCTCGATGCCTATTTAATTTGGTTAATTAGTAATACGCAAGTTTATATATACCAGATAAAATATCAATTTTATATGTACAGAACTGAGCAATGTTGATCTTGTTTTTTCTCCTAAAGGGCTTCTTCAGAACATGGAAAATTTGTAGGATTTTCACAGGAAACATTTCAATTTCTCCAAAATTCTCGTGAAATTCCTCCAAACCAAATATACCAAGGGTACTCTCTATGGCAGAAGAGAATTAATGCATGCCTGGTTAAACTAACTTGTCAACAAAGGTCTTGATATGAATAGATTAGAAGCTGATTTAAGACAAGGCAAAATATCTACAAATATAATTATATATATGCAGGCTAGATTATTACTTTTCCTTTTTATATCAATATAGTTAAAAGCGATTTTACAGTACTTAAGAGATGTTAGGAGGTGCCACCGTTTTTAATGTAAATTCTGGTACCTCTGTAATTAGTATTTAAGGTACTACCAAGTCTTTACAATAGAAAATATGGTATCTCTTAACAAGGGAAATGTAAAATTCCTCATTTAATTTGGTATGTGCTTATCTATTAGCTCTGTACTTATGATATATATGTTTATTTTGCTTCTACCTACAATCGAAATAAACGCAGCTACTCCTATAACATATTGCTGTCAAATTATATGATCCATATGTCAAAAGTGTTCGCCAGTATATGGAAAAGTTTCACACACTTGTCATCAGATGACCCTTGCAAATAATCTTAATTATGTACTAGTTAATTAAGGTCCAAGAATTAATTGGTATTTTAATTAAATTGGGGTTCACTTTGTTATAACAATGAAAATAATCTATTGAGCTGAATCTGACAGGCTCACCTTCTGCACAGTTTTATTAAAAAAATATTTTTAATGCAAATTGTTACATTTTGGTGAACAAGCTTAATTAGTTACTAGTTACATTTCGGTGACAAGTTTAACAAACTCATCATACATAACTAGCCGTATCAGTTCTTTAATTTATGATAGGTACTGTCATCCCTGATGCAGATAAAGGGACGGGTCATAAATAGATTAAGGATCGAGTTCTTACCACAAATATTCTGAATATGCATGTATGAGAAGGAGTCTTGGGGTAATTAATTAAGGTATAACGGATCCTAATATTGGCACCATGAAAGAGAGGACCCTAAATTTGCAAAACTAAGGACGATGCATGCCATTCTACACACTCATACAACACAAGTAGTGTAAGCCTTAGCTATTTCATGCGATAAAATAAACGGCAATTAGCAGCCAATTAACATAGGCACAAAAGGTACATTAATAAGAAAGATGCTTCAGTTCCAAATTCATACATCCGTTTGTGAGAAGCTGTGTTAGGAGTATACTGCACTGTATCTGGCATCTTATATATCTATGTATAATGTTCATATAATGATACTATTTCTTTATCTCATTAAACCATATCACCTCAATTGTCTTTGACACTTAGATGATTAATTTATGGTCCAAATTATTTTTATCATTTTCTTTCTCATACGAAGTTATATCACCTTAGTTTTGTCTTTAGATGATTAATCTATATTATTTCTCCTTTTTTTTATTTTGTCGTTGAGGCATATCACCTTAGTTTTACTTTTTAATGATCAATTTATATATGATTTAAATTATTAAAAATCACGCCATCTAAACTATTTTTAACTTTTTTCATGGTCGATCAAAGATGAAAATTATATAAAATTACGTCATCCGTCATCTAGCTATTTTTACATGTTATTTGTTCTATTATTATACAGAACTTCCGCTGCGATGCGCGGGCCCAATCTAACTCCCATCTCCTTGCAGAACTCGATCGATAAAAATTAATTAATGTTGTCAATTAGCTAATTACGTCGCATGCGGGAGTCATCGCACTGCCAAATATCTAAAAAAACATGTAATAGTCCTTTCATTTCAGTAAATAAACACATCTATATTTTTTTAATCTATATATTAGATTGAGAAATGGAAATTTGTTAGTCAGTACTCCCTCCGTCCCCTAGTATAAGGGATAGACTAGTACTCCATCCGTTTCATAATGTAAGTCATTCTAGCATTTTCTACATTTATATTGATGTTAATGAATCTAGACATATATATCTATCTAGATTCATTAACATCAATATGAATGTGGGAAATATTAGAATGACTTACATTGTGAAACGGAGGAAGTATATAGGAGGACACCATGAATATAATCTCTTGTTTTGCGGAGCTTCTGATCTGTTGGAGATCAGAACTACAAACAGGCATTTTTGTGTGATTTGGATGTACACATGCCAAAACTGATCGACGATATATATATGAATGCGCATATGCATGCATGCAGGAGCTACTTCAGGTGCACGCACAGCAACTGCCGCGTGAAGAAGCGGGTGGAGCGGCTGTCGACGGACTGCCGCATGGTGATCACCACCTACGAGGGCCGCCACACGCACTCCCCCTGCGACGACAACTCCTCCGGCGAGCACACCAACTGCTTCAGCTCCTTCTGAAGATTTTAGCACTTTGCATTTTCGTCGTTGATCCATCCATCAATATATATACCGTCGTATACCTATATGTCCACCGTTTGATCGATTAACTGTGGCTAGCTCTAGCTCTCTTTCATTTTGATGGTTGAGATATATAGGCGACGTAATATCGAGCCATGCCTGCGCAATGTACCAGTACTGCTAGCTATACGTGAGATGTATTGCGTGCATGCACGTACAATTTACAAGCAGCAGTCAATAAATTAAGCTATGTATTTCTTCTATAAACACATCAGCACATGCAAAGTTTGTGTTACACATAAAAAACTCCAATATTGGACCAATATAGTACTAGATGTTACACATCCTAGCACTACGAATCTGGACATACCTCTATCCAGATTCATTATACTAGAATATGTCACATTCAGTACAAGATTCGTTTTTTTTAAGACGGAGGGAGTATATAGTACTGGGGAAAGTGTTTTCATGAACGCAGTTCACTTTACGACTATAACTAGCTATTGCCGTGTTTAGTTCATCGTCCAAATTTTTTTTAAGCATATGGACACACATTTAAAGTATTAAACGTAGATTAATAATAAAACAAATTACAGATTCCACCTGTAGACTGCGAGACGAATTTACTGTAAGTCTAATTAATCCGTCATTAACAAATGTTTACTATAGCACCACATTGTCAAATCATGGCGCAATTAGGCTCAAAAGATCCATCTCGCAATTTACATGCAAACTATGCAAAAAAAATTTCGACCACATTTAATGCTCCATGCGTGTGTTCAAACATCAAGACTTTTTTGACCAAATTTTTTTGGAATCTAAACACATCCTATATACTCACTTTGAGATCAGTTCATGGATGCAGTACTACACTGCAAGTCCGGTGATCTGCAATTCTGCATGCATGCGCATACAGGTATTCCCTTCCTACGATAAAAAATAAATCTAGTACGTTATCTCATATTTTATACGATGTCTCGTAAAGAGTATACTCCCCTCCGTCCGATAAAGAGTGCATTTTTTTTTATTTTTATAGAACATTTGACTCTTCGTCTTATTTAATTTTTTTATGATTAGTATTATTATTATTAGATGATAAAACATAAATATTATTTTATGTATAACTATTTTTTTATTTGTTCCATAAATATTTCAAATAAGATGGACAGGAAACTAGATACAGAAATCCAAAAATGCGTTCTTTATGGGACGGATGGAGTAGGTTTATTTTTTGGTTGGAGGTAGTATCCGTGAGTCCTAAGTTACTCCCTCCGTCCCAAAACAACTACAATTCTGTACTATTCATATCTAACGTTTGACCGTTCGTCTTATTTAATTTTTTTTATGATTAGTATTTTTATTGTTGTTAGATGATAAAATATAAATAATACTTATGTATGACTATTTTTTTTTTAATTTTTTCATAAATTTTTTAAATAAGACGGACGGTCAAACATTGGACACGGATACCTATTGCTACACTTATTTTAGGACAGAGGTAGTAGATCATATTGTACACCTTTATTTTTTTTTCCACTTTGGTGTACTAAGTTTGATCATATACTACGTACTGATGAGCGCAGGCCTGACAGAACACACAACACAGGAACTAAAAGGAGGAGAAAAAACAACACAGGCTCATCAGCGCGGCGCTCCTCTGCGTACTTGTATGTACTCCTACGTATATGTGCATCGATGCACATATATGCTTCGATCGATGCGCGCTAATGATTGTTGCAACAGAGAACCTGCAGTTCCGGCGAAAACGAACAGGGGCTCGCAAACAAAACCGCCATCAACACTCGCGTGCTCGCATCTCCTCGGCGTCTTTCAGCTGGTGTGTGTATTCAGAAGCTAGCCATGCATAGGGAGGGCATGCAGGCATGCAGCTGCACGCGAATCGATCGGTCTGGTATTGTGGTCATCCATCGGGGAGGGCCTCAAAATGTGGTCGCTGAAGAAAAAATTAACACTGTGAGATCGATCGAGCTTGCCATGAAATCGAGGTGAGTGGGTGTGTCACCTTCGAATCTTCGATCATGAGCTCCACCTACACGCGCTGGCCCATCATGATGGCCTAGGAAACACGGCCCGGTCACTGCGTGCGCAGGGATCCCGTCCCGGCCCAACTTGAGGAGGCAGGACGCACGTTCGCGGGCATCCTGGTTGGGCCCAGAGGAGAAGAGGGTGACACGGTCCAATGCGCCCCAAATTGCGTTGATTTCCTCCAGCGCCGTGCGGAGCACCCGTCCCGGCGGATGCGGCGAGCCCGCTATTTTTATCTCCGCGGTCGCGACTCCTCACCTGCTGTCTGCTGCGGTGGTGCCTGCGTGGCTGCGTCCCTTGTATCGCCTCTGTTTGAAGGGAGCGTATATATGCACACAGGTTCTCGCGTGTACACCGTGTACACCAACTAAAAATTTTCACAAAAAATTCTAGAAAAATTTATACATGTACTTTTAATAGTATTATATCTACGTGCAAAGTCGTATATTCAAATTCATTCTACATAGAGAATAACAAAAAAGATAAAATTCTGACAAAATTGTAACCTTAAAACTGTCAGATTTTTTGTTACGGCTAAAATATAATGAATTTGACGTTAAGATTTTAACTCTAGGTGTAATACAATTGAAAGTATGTGTATGATTTTTTCTAGATTTTTTGGTGACATTTTTTAGTTGGTGTGCACGTGTGTACACGTGAGGGCATGTGTGCATAGAATATGTTGCCCTGTTTGAAGACTATTTTTTGCTGAAATGTCATGCAAAGACCTTAACAGAAGCGGTGTCACATCTCTGGGATATCATTTTCCCTCTTGCTTCCGTTCCATATAACGGATTCCGTGCTCTCTCCCGAACTTCAGCTGCTCCCCACCAGCTCTGAGGCCGGGTCAGCACATCACGTGCGCCGCCAACGCGCGCCTGCGGAGCGAGGCAAGGGAAGCCATGGCCGAGGGCGCAGAGCTGGTGGGGGAGAGCGCCCACCAGGACATGCCGCGGGTGGTCGCCGCGCTCGCCGGCATCCTGGAGCGCGTCGCGGGGCGCAACGACGCGGCCGCGACGCCCGCGGAGCTCGCCGCGGCGCCGGCGTCGCCGTTCCGGGCGACGGCCAAGCCGGGCATCTCCGTCCGCGCGTACGCGGCGCGCATCGCGCGGTTCGCCGGGTGCAGCCCGGCGTGCTACGTCGTCGCCTACATCTACCTCGACCGGCTCCTGCGCCGCGGCCGGCGGTGCCTCGCCCTCGCCCTCGCCGTCGACTCCTACAGCGTGCATCGGCTCCTCATCACCGCCGTGCTCTCCGCAGTCAAGTTCATGGATGACATGTGAGTTTTCTCTGCAAACTCTGCTGCCACTCTTCACGCATTTACGGTCTCATGATCAAGTAACAGAACGGTTTTAACCAGCTAATATGCAGGCACGTTTACACGTAACACGATCATCTTCTTGATTGGTTCTAGAGAAGAAAAAATGAATTTGCAATAGAACTCACTCTGTTCCTGGCATGTTCTTGTAATCTTGTTTAATTACTCGGGTTGTCAATATTTACAGAGAACTAAATTTCAACACACCTGAGTGGTGAATCGCCGATGGATATTTGATGAATCACCTGAATTTTGTACCGTGCTTTGGGTTCAACTTATAGTTGGATAATTTCAATCACTTTGTTTCTTATTCCTACTCGACATAGTTTTGTTCTATTCACAAACTTCCCTTGTTCGAGACACTGCCAGCTAGGAATAAACTGGGAGTGTCTTCGAAGTAACTCCAGAATCATTTCGGTCCCTAGTTCAGGAATTTTTCTGTTTTTACAATTCCAAAATGAGTTTTTCCTTACAGTCTTGAAACGGAAGGCAAAGAGAACCTCCGAAATAGTTACATCTGAATATCACAGCAACCACCAGCTATTAATTGTCGGTAATCATGCTCCAAAGAAGCCACTGGGAAAGGTTTCCACCTCAACTTTGCTGTCAAAACTAGGCTTTGCACCGGGTACCCAAAGTGATTTGTCCACGCAAACAAACGCAGTACATGGACAGAATTATGCTTGTCCAGCAAAGCAAAAAAAAATGAGGTGGTATCATTTCACTATTCCTTGCGTCCAACCACACACATCCACCGTGGACCCAAGAACACAAACCAGAATTCCACCCTGCACAAGGACCCCCTCGCCTTTTTGTTTGGAATTTAATTCAGTGCCAGTTGTGGGGGATTGGGACTGGCAACTTGCCCTTGCTGCTGATGTTTGCAGCTCAATTTCCCCGTGTCAGGGCCTCATCGGGAGCATCTCTTTTTTCTAGCTTTTTCTTAAGAGTAAGAGCGACACTACTGTGACAATACTTAATTGCCAACTTGGCGTACTGAATGAGCCCGTTTGGGGCCAATTCGGTGATTTGTGGTTGCGATTTTGTTCGGTCGCTTGATCGATCCCTTCGATGCTACTGGTGATTGTGCCGTCAATCATTGGAGAGCAATCATAAACGATCTGAAAGAATGGACGGAGCATACAGGCAATATACAATAATACTGTCATTAATTTCTTTTTGTCTGAAAAGATTAACAGCCGAATTGTTTTGACTTTTGACATGATCGATCGATCTGTATATATATATTCAGATGCTACAACAACGCCTACTTCGCCAAGGTCGGGGGCATCAGCCTGGCGGAGATGAACTACCTCGAGGTGGACTTCCTGTTCGGCGTAGGGTTCGACCTGAACGTGACGCCGGAGACGTTCGCCGACTACTGCGCCGTGCTCCAGTCCGAGATGCTCTGCGCGGCGCCGCCGACGAGGCTGCACTACTGCTGCCTGTCCGAGGACGATGCCGGCAGCAGCAGCAGCAGCTCGCTGCGTGAAGCGGCCATGGAAGCAAGCTAGCATGTCACACTGCGTACATACATGTGATCTGTCCTACGTGCTGGAGTATTAGTTAGTGTGGCAGTTGCTTTGATTAGTTTAGTTAGCCTGCTAGCTATAGTAGCTAATAGGTGGTCGATCGCCCTCTCCTCCTGCATGATGCGTACAGCAGTGCATTCTTGCTGTGCACTCCTTTGTTCTTTTTCTTTTTTTCTTTTTTTGTTTCGGTGTGTACTAATGGTGTAGATCAGTGAAACATTTATGCAATTTGATCCTATGTAAATTTTGATGGAAAAAGTAATTTTCAATCTTGGAAGTGAAGTATGTAGTCGACCATATAGCTCAGACTGGCGTTCTCACACACGGTGGATGCGCCAACCACTACTGAAAGGCAAGAGATGTGACCGTAAGCAATGGGCGGGAGGGGGGCTCACCAAGCTCCTATGACTATCACAATAATTACAGGCACCGAAATCTTGGGTACTGGAGGGAAATGAAATACTATGCCAGTAGTATCTATGGCCGCTCCGTTCCAAATTAGATGTCGTTTTGATTTATTGCTTTTAACGTTTGACCATTCATCTTATTTAAAAAGTTAGTACATATATAAAAAGATAGGCCATACTTATAGTACTTTTGATAATAAAGTAAGCCACAAACAAAATAAATAATAATTCAATAATCTTTTGAATAAGACAAATTGTAAAACGTTATAAACAAAAACTCAAAACGACAAGTAATTTTGACAGAGGTAGTACTACAGTATAGGAAACTATTCTAATTTTTTTAGGAGATATTCTCTCGTTATTTGTATGTCATTCAAATGATTATGAAAAAAATAATAGATTAATATGTGAGAAATCACTCCACAAACATATAAAATCAAATTTAATTTCTACGAGTTGCAATGAAAAAACAATTTGGCTACGAACATATGTTAACTACCCATAGCTTATGAGCTTACTTGTCAGCTAATTAATTATCATTCTTTTAGGTAATAAGATAGAAGTACGGTATCTATATCCATAAGTAGATATACACAACTAAATATTACACGAGTTCATTAAGATACACAGAAAAACAAGCAAACTAAAAGAAAATATTAGAAGAGACTAGCTTCAAATTTTCCCTCATCACTTCAAACTTTAGGGGAATGCGGAGCTAGCCCGCTCTTCCACCTCCACACCCTCTCGTTGTTGTTACAACAACCATAAAAGTTCCTCTGCTCCGTCATGAACAAAGGAAGGGGACAGAACTAGTCCACCCAACCGCCTTGTCATCGATAAGCACCGGTTTCGTGATGTCCGAACAAACTGTGCTCCCTGAACGTGAATATGTTCATCGCTGTCATGTCGTCGTCGTCATAGACTAACACCTCCCCTGAGCTGCCACAGCTTATCTTGCCAAAATTCAATGGCGCTATGATGTCCCCCTCCCCCCCCAAAAAAAAATCATTGCCGCATAACCTCACCTCTGCAAAGCCGTCGAAGCTTATCTCACCGGAGAACATCCGCCGCTACATCTTCTTTGTCCGAAACCATGACCTCCACTGAGTTGCCGTAGCTTATCTCGTCAGTGATATGCTACTACCACGACATTGTCATCGTAGACCACAACCTAAGCCGAGCTACCGTCACAACCTATCTCCTCGAGGAGTCGTCGTCTTCACTGCTGACTTCCGCCACCACGAATAATCATATTGTTTATCACAACTTCTCTCTCCTTTTAAGAATTGAAACACAAGAGCATATAGAAGAATAGGAGAATTCTGTAACCTTCATAAGAAAATATGTGTAGTGGATTAGTTAGTGATTGAGCCATTACTTAAAAAAGAGAGGCCCAAATATTATTTTTCATTTATACAGTTACCAGAATCCCCACAAAACTGCAGTAGGCCGAATACTAATAGAGGCCCTGGGCATGGCCCAATTAGTAGTGACCACTGTACTCTGAATATGCTGAAAAGTTTAGCCCATAATGAATATTGGCCCATGGTTTATATTATAGCTTTGTACACTAGGGCATAAATTATATGTTTAATTGGATCCATACTATTATAAATTTTCGACTTTAGAAACATGTTATTATTATTCATTTATTTGGAATCATGCTATTACAATTTCTTGATTATTTGATATGTATCACTACTTACCCTTTAGTGTTTTTTTTTTATGATTTCTAGACCAATGGAGCCCAAGATAGGGTGCTAGAGCTCACGGTTGGATGTGGAGGATGAGAGAGCGGCGCAATCGGTGAGGGAGAGATGGATGGCAGAGGCTGCAGACGGTGAAAGGGATGAGGATGGGGATGGGGAGCAAGCCGTGGTTGGAGGTGCCACCCTTCTATATTATAAGTTGTTTTAACTTTTTTTAAGTTAAACGTTGTTAGGTTTGACCAAGTTTACAGAAAAATGTAATAAAATTTTAAACATAAAACAAAGAAACTACCAAAATATGTTAAATGTTACATATATTAATTGTTATTCTAGGTTGTTTAGCATATATTGAGATTTGAGAAAAAAAGACTATAATACCCCTTGTCAAACGGTTTATAGGTAAGAGTGGAGAGTAGTTGAGGGTAAAATAGGAAGAAATTTGGATGAGAAGTGATTAATAGGATCATTAGTACTCTATTGTGATAATTATTTTGGGACAAATTCAAACCCTATAAATACAATTATTATGGGATAGAGGTAATAGATGTAGTGAAATTAATTTGGTGTTATATAAGTGTTGTTATATTTTTCTATAAACTTGATCAAACTTTCAAGAATTTAACTTAAAAGAAAATCAAAATTGCCGTATTTCACATTTGGTAATCCATAGCAGCTCCGCTATACATCAGACAATAGTAGCAGACTAGCAGAGAATTTATGTTTTCATGCCATCCAATACGTTATGCCGAATAGCCTTCGGTTACATCTAGCTTTGCTTCAGAAATCTGACATGCAGGTCGATTATTCAGGAAGTTGGAAACGCAAGCCAGACGGAATTCCGCCACGAACACAGCGCAGAAGCAACTAGCTAGCATGGCGTATCACCAATTCACAAGTCGAGTACTATATTGGCATTTGGGGCATGAACCATCGTAGTAGAAGGTACTACCAGTTACAAAGCCTGAAGAACACAGCACGTACGGTACCGCTATGCTCAAATTGAAGCTCGTACATCAGCGTTCCCCAGTTGATAACGTAGCATGGATGACATGACACTATATATATCTTAGGAGATTCCTATACATTGCTCTAGTTATGAAGCTCATGGTTCGTCTCATGGCCAGAGGAGGAAGACGAGGACGGGCGGCTTCAGTTGTTACCGCCACCGTCCTTCTGCTGTGTCTTGCCGCCGCCGCCGCGGAAGCTCCCGCGCTTGCTCCAGTTTGCACCGACATCGCCGCCGCCATAATCCCCGCCATATCCACCACCTTCTCCGGCTCCGCCACCACCCCCTCCAGGTTCCCCATTATAGCCACCACCATAGTTGCCATATCCTCCAATGCCGCCGCTGCCGCCACCATAGTTGCGGCCGCCGCCGCCGCCGCCACCGCCACCGCCACCTCCAAAGCCTCCGGGGTGGCCACCGTATCCTCCACCGAAACCATATGCTCGACCGCTTCCTCCGCCGCCGCCGCCACCGCCGCCGCCACCTTCGCCTCTGCTGCCACCGTACCCAAACCCGAACCCGGAGCCCTTGCCGCCAGGGCTAGCGGCCCAGCCCCAGCCATACCTCCAAGCACCGTCGGGGCTGGACCCCTGGCCGGACCCCGAGCCGCCCTTCCACCCGGGCGGCAGCGGCGGCCCCGTCTTTCCCGGCTCGGCCGCGCCGGCGCCGTCCCCCTCGCCGTCGGCGTCGCCCCTGCACCGCACGAACGCGGACGCGAAGACGAGGAGGAGCACCGCAAGAGCCGCCGCCACCACCCTCTCTCGCCGCCGCTCACCGCTTCTTTCCATTGCAAGCTCTCTCTCACTCACTCTTGCTCTGTTTCTTGGCTCTGCGTACTTGTGTTGCACTTGCAGTGGATGTCCCGTGCCATGCCCCTATTTATAGCGTCCACAGGCAACCGATCGCGCTCACGCACCACCGGCCCATTGCCACGATTTGATCGATCGATTTGCTGCTGCTGCCTTTTGCCATTCTGCTTTGCCATGCATGTCCTCTTCGTCGCGTCGATCGCCAAGCTTTGCTTTGCGCAGCTGCGCTGCCGACCGAGCGTTACAAAAGTCTCTCGCCAAAGCCGCTTTCACCTTTATCCCGTCCGTGCCGCGTCGCACTGTAATGGCATGAGAAGGAATGATCTCTGTTTTCTTTTGTTCCTTCATGTGCGTGCATTTTTCTTCGTCGAGAGCGAGGCCCCGTGAGCTAGAGAATCCGGTTCGCTGATGGCTAGTGTCGAGGTGTGCAAATGTGCTAGCAACAGCTGGACAAAAAATTTTGATGTTGCCACTATGCAGCTGGCCCTGCGTCGTTCGTCTGTTCCCAGAGGTTCGTGTTGATGACAATGAGAGATCTCTCGGCGGCTAGCGGCTAGCGCGCCCGTGACCGCACGCATGGCAAAGAGGAGAAAACGATATGGGCGTGACGTCGATAGTGATTTCGTGAACACGAGTACACACACTCAATCGGGAGTCCGTTTATTTACACTCATAGCTAGCTAGTGCTGTACATTACTGGAGTGGTAGTACTAGTTATCTAGCGGTTTGATCCAAAGATGGGCGCAATAATATTTGATACTCGATCGTGCCAATGCGGCGTGCTTGAACGTCGTAATCAAGTAGCCAAGCCGCGGCCTAAGATATCCAAGGCCATAATCACGGGCATCAAGATAGTGGTAAGCAAGCACTGACCACATACGTAGCCGTTAAATTTGACCCTCGGGGTTAACAAGGATATATGAAGCCTTTTGTGATACCGTCGGCACTGTGCCCATGGTAGGACACACTTAATAATAGTACAATACTACAATTACAGCATCCTTCCTTTAATGGCACCCACAATGGTAATGGCACCCACAATGGTAAAGTAAGGTGTTCTCTGTAAAACATATACATCTCAACAATAGATTAGATTAATAGTAAATCACCTCAATAGTATGTCTATATGGGTATCTATAGCTCTCTAATCCATTGCCTTGTTTTTCTCTATAGACTATCTCTAGACTAGTAGATAGCTTTGCTTTCTCTCTCTTCATTTAATCTCTTCCATGTAGAAAAATATGGTGACATGGATCTCTTATACATAGCCTATAGATAACAATTCAACTCTAGTCTCGCGTCTCGCCGCCTCACAACCAATGCATGCGGTGCGGTGCGTGCGTGCGTGCGTGCAATCGTGCGTGGTCGGCCGGGGGAAAAGGGGCACGACGCAGACATGCGGTGGGATCGATCGGTGGGAGTAATTCAACGAGACAACGAACCCATCCCGTCTCCGCGCGTAGCTTTCGACTGGGCTAGCTTTCTCGTGCGATTCGATGGCGATGGTCACCTCGCCCCCATGTACAGTGAGGTGTGTGCACAGTGCATGCTGCAGCTCGTCCTGGGCCGCCGGGAGCGCGCGGAACGGCGCGGTGGCCAGGGCAATTTCCGGTCGACGGGGGCGCGCCGCCGAGGGGATGGGACGGAAACGATTGCCGGCAGCTGGGTGGCTCGTTACACCGGCGGAGCCCAGCAGCCACGTGCACCGTGCATATATGGTGCGGCGTATCGTGCCGGTGCAACGACGCGTGTAGGCGCAGGATGCGGGCAGAGCCCACCGCGAAGCGGTTAGGCACAAAAAAAGGAGAACTTTTACAGGATTTGCATTCCAAAAAAATGTAAAAACCCAACGCTAGTTACTTAGATACCAGATAAAAACATAAGTGCACTAGTTGGTAGAAAATGGTAGAATTGTCCCTAATTTTAATCGGTACCGTATAGGTACCAGTTAGTCATTTACGGGAACTAGCTTAGTGTTTCTTATTTGTATGGTTTCCTCTATATTTACGTTATGTACTTTGCTATTCTTATTTGCATGATTTTCTCTAAATTTATGTTTTGTTTCAGAAAACACGTTAGTAGAGTAAAAGTTATTGATCATGTTTTTTTTTCTAGATTTATGTTATGTTCTAAAGAACATGTCAAAACTTATCCCTTTAATTCATTTGAGACTTATATTTATTTTACGCGGAGAGATTATATTGTGTTTTAAAAACATAACCTGTTAAAATATAATCGAAGGTTTGCATCGTTTTAAGTTATACATTTTATTGATTTATCCGTATAAAACATGAAGGATAATTCGTCATTTTAAGTTATACATTTTATTAATTTATCTGTATAAAACATGAAGGATTGAGCTTCTTCCACGCTATCTCTCCTTGTGGGTGTACCCATTCAAACCCTTGAAGAACATATAGGAGGAGATCTCGATTCAATTTCTTATTCAAGGAATTTGTAAACTACATAAATAGCTAATCAAGTGCGCACATATGTCCTAGATATCTTACCGATGCGCTTGCATCTAGCCGTCGACCGGCCGATCTCGTCTCTTCTTCAACCCTTAACCATGTCGGTGCTTATCCCTTTGTCTCCTTTGGTGAACCATTTAAAGTCCTAGAACAATAATGAAGTGAAGGTAGAGAAGAAAGGATACATGATCTTTTCTTTTTTTTTTCCTCATTACAGATCGAATCGATCGCTAAATCAATGGAGTATCCATGATTCACGTTTTTTTATCTACAGCAATACCAATCTATACAACAATACCGATCAATAGAGCCAAGTATTCAATTCATATGAAATGTCCATATTTTACTAATTAATTACTCTACTGCCGTCATATTATAATAATTTTGTTCCATACTTTGCCCCTCTCTTGATCAATGGTTCATATTGCTCCACCTCTAAGTACCTCGCAAACACCGTGCTTTATGGTTATGGGCCCAAAAGTTAGTGCACGGCATGTTGAGTTGAAGGTGGGTACCCACTTCGTGTGCGGTTATGGTTCCCTGCTTAAGAGCATCTTCAATAACCTCTCCAAATGTCTATTTGTCTAACTCTCCATCTAATTTAGCTAGTCAAACTCGTTGTTTACTCCAACAGCTTCTCCATCTACTATCTCCATTATAAGTCTATGACAAATAGGACCCATATGTAAATCTCTTCTGCCCTTCAACGGCGGACGGCGGCGGCGACTCGTGGGCGCGAAGGCGACAGACGTGGGAGGCAGGCCGGGGGACAGTAGCGAGCGGTGAGTGGAGACGACGCTGAGCTGGCGGGCTGCAGCGAGCGGATCCGCTCCTCACTGGCCTCCCTCGCTCCTCCCTCACCGTCGTCGCCGCTCGGGCCGCGTCCCCATCCGCCGGCGCCGCCACTCGGGCCGAGCTTGGGCTCCATCCCCATCCGCCCTCTGCTGCCGCTCGGGCTCCTCCTGCTGGTGCTGCTCTGGCCGAGCTCGCCGTCAAGCCACATCGCCACCACCACCGACCTCACTGTCGAGCAAAGCCGCATCTGCTACTCCCTCCATCCTCGCCCCCATCTCGTCCTTCCACGAGTTGATGCGGGGCAGAGGCGGCGCTAGGAGGCCGGCACCCACCACCATGTCGTCCCGCCCTCGCCGTGCCCTCGCCGTGCCGCCGGCGCGCCCTCCCGCTCTTGCCCTCGCCGTGCCACCGTCACCGTCATCGTGGTCTCGTGGTGGATTCGGCTAGAACCTTTTCATGGTAGAGAGAGAGTTGTGGGGCCTACTTTTGGCAAGTGAGTTTGGATGGCCAAATTTGACCAATGAGTGGAGAGATTTGGCCAGCCGGATGGCTTAGCCATCCAGTTGGAGAGGCTGTTGGAGCATGTTATTTTTTGCTAGAGTTGTCAAATTTTAACTTGGAGAGATAGTTAGAGAGGTTGTTGGAGATCCTCTAACACAACCAAACCAACGTATCGTACTCCGGCTCCGGTTTCGCGTAGTCGCGTTTGGTTAATTTCGAGCTTTGGACTAGTCGGTAATCTCTACACCCTCCCTCGTTTCCATGAGTTGAGACAGGTGGTTACTCTTTTCTCCGCCGATACAGCCAATAGTGACAATCTTGCGATAAGATGGATACGTCGAGCGTGTTCCTCTTCTTCTTCCCTGCCTCGCCCTTAAGGACGGTGTAGATTCAAACAAGCCGGTGATATAATTCAGCATCCCTGAGAAGAAGACCACCTGTGACAACATGGTTGAGCACTTGAGGTGTTGAAGAACAATAGCAACAGGGTTGGATTCTGTGCATAATGTCACCACCTCCATCTTCCATGTCCTTTGGACCAAGATTCAACTGCCTGCCACGCCTACCAAATACTCCCTCCGTCCCATAATATAATAGATTTTGACTTTTTACTTACACTGTTTGACCATTCTTCTCATTCAAAACAAATTTTGGAATTATTATTTATTTTATTTGTGACTTACTTTATTATCCAAAGTACTTTAAGCACAACTTTTTATTTTTTTATATTACACAAATTTTTTAAATAAGAGAAGTGGTAAAACAGTATAAGAAAAAAAATTAAAATCTCTTATATTACGAGGGAGAGAAGTACTGACTTCAGCAGTTGCCTCCTCTCCGGCACGCCTTCTCATCTCCGGTGCTTTGTGCTTCTCGATGAGCCTGTCTCCCCTGTGCTTTTGTACTGTTGTGTCGACGAGGAGTGGACGAGGTACAAGTACGATATTTGGGACGCAGGCCGTCAAAGAAAAACTGCCCATTTGCCCGATAGCAGCTTGTCAGGGGAAGTTTTTACTTCAACGGCCTGGCCGGCTAGCTAGGCGTGCTCGAGTTCTGCCCTGCGCCTGTGTTCAGCAAGATCACAACAACTGACGTGATTGACGGATATTTTTTTTTCGGGTATATAAATTACGCTCATATTTATATCTCGTCAAATCTGACGACGAACTCTACATGGCCCGCACCCTGTTTGGATACGACCTGAAGACAATTTATGAAGTCTACAAGATGGATTTTTGGCTACAGCGGTGCAGCAGAATTCAGGAGATCGAAGGGACATCGAAGGTTGAGAATGTCGACGAACCTCCAGTGTCAGATCGATTATTGTGGATCCTGCACACTGAACCATATGATATGATACTGGTTTAGTGGTTTGTATTGTCTTCTCTCATCGTGTGTTCTTTTGCCGTGGCTTGTAATTTGTAAAGAGCTTTTAGGTTCTTTTGGTTTATATGTAATTAGTTATTTTCCAGGAACTAAAAGAACCTAATGAGAAGTAATGAGAATGCTGATGACCTAAAAATTAATGAGAATCGTCTGACAGTTGCTTGGTTATCCGAAGAGTAAGGTGAAAAACGAAAAGAAAGGGGAAAAAAAGCTATACATACTCATTTTCTTTTACCAACAAAATTCTTACTAACACTAATTTATCATGTTATGAGTGTATATAGATTTTTTATAATTTTTATCTATCTAAATCAAATGTTTGAGATGATTGTTAGTAAATTTAGAAAATAAGTTATTCCGTGTAGCAGTATTCAATTCTCATTAATTTTGACACTTGTTACACAACAAATGACCAAGCAACTGTTACACGAGGGGGTAATGAAGGTGGTTTTCAGCGAATTACACACTGACAATACCACCTTCATCCAAAAGTTCCATTTTTTTTTCTTCCAAAAGTTATTACTATTTTATTTTTATCACCAAACCTTCCCAAATATAACAATGTTATCTGAGCAGCCGTGTTAGTTTGATTAGTTTGAAAATCGGTTTTGAGGACACACTGAAGAAAAACCCAATCTCACGTTCCACCATCTCACACCATGCAGCAACAAATTATCGGCAGTACTGAACTGAGCGTTATGCAAATCTGATAAGATGGGGCGATAGTGATTGGAATAACTGTAATTAACGGTATGGAAAGCTGAACAATGTACATATATTGTGAATTGAGTTGACAAATTTAGAACAGAATTCAGGAGAAGGAAATTTCTGCCGAAGAATTGTCCGCAGAACATCTACGAATCAGTTAGATCCTCTTCTCAGCTTAGCCGCCAAGTAGCTTTCACACTAAATCTCCATGCATAAACATAATAGAAACATAGTAGAGGAACAGACTGTTAAATAAAGACAAAATACTACAGACCCTCACAGTATGACAATGCAAGATGAATAATAAAATATAATCAGCTGCTTGTTATGCAAAAATCACAACGGATATTGCATACTACAAATACATCTCATAGTCCGCATATTGTCATTACAGCCAATAGTACAAAATAAGATTTTACAGGTTGGAAGTGTTCTTGTCTAGTTCTGATCTTGTGGAATAACTGCTCTTTTCACTGTCTCAATAGCTGGATCTTGTGGAATAACTGCTCTTTTCACTGTCTCAATAGCTGAATTCACAACTCGAACAGACAAGTTTCACATGAAATCAACATTTCATCGAACTTTTAGAATTTATATTTATTAAAAACACAGGTTGATCAAAATAGTGAGCTTGGGTATGCATTCAACGAAGGATTTAACAGCACTAGCTCTCAAGCCTGGCAGGGCGAAAGCTATTAGGCAGTAACTGCAGATGCTATGAGAAATTTTAGCATCATTAGGCGTCCATCAACAGCTCACTTACATTCAGTAAACATTAATTATAGAAGTGGCAAAACAATAATTTAAAGAGAATACAGTTGGTGTTGCATTGCATCAGACATCCAAGGAAGGAATTAGCAGCATTAGCTCTCAAACCTGGCAAGGCGAAAGCTCTTAGGCGGCAACTGCGAATGTTATGAGAAACAAGCCTTGCTTTTAGCATCATTTGCCATGCAGATCACCAATTTACAGAAGAACAACAAATAAACTTGCATGAAGAAAATGGCTCAGACATCCAAGGAAGGAATTAACAGCATTAGCTCTCAAGCCTGGCAGGGCGAAAGCTCTTAGGCGGCAACTGCGAATGTTATGAGAAACAAGCCTTAAATTTATCATCATTGCCATATAATCAAGGGACCAAAAAAATAAAAGCAAAACAAAAAAGGTTGTTAATTCAAATAAATCAAATGTAATGACAGATACGGGCTCTGTAGACCGATGGAGATGCAGTCCCAGGTTCCTATCAACATGTGAAACGTAGGAAACCAACTCTGTTTTGGCCTAATCAAAGCATCACCGGTCAAAGCCGTAGCTACAGGTGACGTGGCATCAGGCCCAAACTATCACAAAATAACAGATACAAATTCTATATTATTATGAGACAGCTTCGCATAATCCCTCAAGAGACCCGTTTAAAATCACACACACAGCTGAATTAACCAATTGCAAATGGGTACTCCATCCCAGACCAAACCACAAAGGTTATGGTCGAAGGATGGACACTTGCAAATGAGAAAAGCAGCTGCTGTTTAAAGTGTCATACGGCACTTCCTATGGTCATAGAATCCTCACTGGGACTAGATTGCAACTCATAATACATGAACAAAATCTAGATCTTTATACACTACAATATTACTGGATTATAAAGCCTCAGGATGCCAGACAAATGTCGTCATTTGATAATCTGACGGTAATTCCAACAATATGCTAATCATCATAGGCTTAAAATCGTAGATATAGGAAGGAGAAAAAATTATAGAACACGCAAGATTTAAAGAAAAGAATATAAAAATGATCTTTAAAGCATCATCAGAAAGAAAAGCCTTCTCATTCACAGTGTTATAGCACTGTGTCAGAAGGTGTCCTAAGATTGTTATAAGGTTTCATCCTCTGATACTGTAAAAAATCCACATAAAACCATAAACGATAAGATCTGTTCTGTGATTGGATTCAGATGCAAAGATGTGTAACGTCACATGGACGACAGAAGCCGTCCTCTGATCAAGTGTTGGATTATGCATCAATTACCTCCTCACAATCCAAACAGATCTAAGAAAAACAACAGAAAAAACATAGCAGAACAAATTGAAGGAGGATTTCAAGTTACTCAGTGGTGGCTTTGTTAATTGGTTCGATTCTGCCAGCGAGTGTCCTCAATGCCTTCAGAAGAGGGAGCTTAATATCCTCATCGCAATAGACTCCTCCAGTGCAAAGAACACGAATATAAACCAATAAGGAATCGAGAAAGATAGCAATTTTTAACAGAAAAACAATTAAACCAGATAAGAAAAAAGAGCAAAATCAGATGGCTCGGTTCAGCGGAAAAATCGGCATACAAATCAATCCCTGAGGAGTAGATCCAGAGAGAAAGACCTGTGATTTGGTCTGTTGAGCTTGAATATTACCAGGTCGTCACTGCCATCGCATCGCTTGCATAATAAAACAACAAAACAACCGTGAAAAAAAAGATCAAAACGAAACAAAATAAATCGCAGGATGCAGAAAAAAGTGCGCAAGAATAAGCGGATCTGGCTGTGGCTGTGGTAGGGAGGGACTGGAGGGAGATTAGGGATGGCAACGGGGCTGCCCCCGTCGGGTTTGTGCACCCCGTACCCATCCCCACAGCATAAAAAACAGAACGTTCCCCTTCCCCATCCCCGCACAGGGGGTAGATTTCCCCCGTCCCCGTCCCCGCAGCGGGTACGGGGCACCCGCCGGGTCTCAGCACCCGAAAGAAACAGAAAAACAGCAAGCAAGCAACAACAGGATTACAGGAAGAAGAAAACATAGTAAACTTACTCCAACAAACATTAAACTTAACAAGTTCATCACATAAACTTAAGCAGTACATCGGTGCATGCATAGCATCATAGCAGCACATCACATGCAGTACATAACAAGCTCACATGTTTTGGAGTTCAACAGAGTACACATCACATGCGACGGCGGCTCCACACACACGGCAGCGGCAGCGGCACGCTACTAACCTACGACGGCGGCGCAGGGAGCTTCGAGGCGGCGACGGCGGCGCGCGGCCTGGAGGCACGTCGCTGCCTCGCTGGCTCCCTGGCGTCGCCTCGCCTCACCAATCGGACTTCTATTCAGAGAAAAGAGAGGAATGGGGAATTAGGGATCGGTAGATGGGAGAAAGAAAAAACGCGATGTGTTTTCTGTGCGCACGTGGTTGTGAGCGGCGGCGGAGTGGGGGTGGGACGGCATCACGGGATTAGGGTTTTTCTATATATATTATCTCTAAGTGGGCCTCATAGTTGGGCTGTTATTTTTTAGAATGGACTGACACCCTAGGGATTTGCTCATGGGCTGATATATCTTGGGCCCCATGGGGATACGGGCCGGGGAGTGGTGGAACGACCCCGTCCCCAGCCCACCCGATGGGGCCTAATTTCAGGGGTTAATTAGATCCATACCATTAAAAATTTACTGGTTTTAAAATGTCATTACTATTTGCATATTTGTAACGATGCCATTGCTATTTGTTTGTAATCTTAACGGTGCCACCGAAATACGTATTTTGCATATATTAGACGAAAATGTCCTCATCTTCTACATCTCTCTCTTCCACATCTTCTACCCCTACGCCGCCTGCTCCACCACCATTGCTGCCGCCACGTCGCTCACTCCGCTGCTCCTGCTGCTTGCGCTGCTCGCCGCGCCGTGTGCCGCTGCTGCTGCCATCGCGGCTGCTGCCGCCGCCGGGCTGCGCGTGCGCCGCTGTTGCTGCCGCCGCTCGCCGCTGCGCTGCTGTTGCCGCCGCCGGGCCGAGCCACGCCACTGCTGCAGCCGGGCCGCTAAGACCTGAGAAGGAAGAGAGGAGGAAGGAGAAAGGGGAAGAAGGAAGAAGATGGGAAAAGGGGTATTTTGGTCTTTTTTTTTAATGTATCCAAGGGATAAGAAGTGGTATCTTTTGAATATGTGTGAAATTATAATGGTATATTTCCAAATACGCAAATAGTAATGGTATATTTCAAAACCAACAAATTTTTAATGGCATGTATCCAATTAACCCTAATTTCAGCCGTTTTCTACCCCCGTGGGGGATGATTTCACCCCGTTAACTCACCCTAATAGAGGAATTCTCCGTCGGAGACCGGGGAACGGGGCCCCATTGCCATCCCTAAGGGAGATGCGGCGTACAACGATGGGGAAAAGATGAGGAGGAGATTTGCTGCGGCGGGGGTGGAGGCAGCGATGGGAATAACAGCTGCGAAGGCTGTGGTTATATATGGGACGGGATGGATGATGAATTAGGGTTTAGGGTTCGAGGGGTGGAGCTTCTGGATTCTTCAGTCGTGGCGGCTAGTTGGGCCGTGGCCAGTGGATTAGGCTAGGCCGTGGCGGCGGGTTGAAGCTGTAGAATTGGGCTCCGACTTGCGAGACAACCTCAGGCCGGCTGCTAGGATGGCTTTCTCCAATAAGATGGGAGTATGGCTTGCAATATGTGAGAGATATCAGAAGTGTGGTTTCATCCCACTTGGCATCACCTTTTTTATGAGGCTATACCTTGCGTTGGCCATGCCCTTAGCCCAAACAAGCATCCATAGTGGACCTAACTTGGATGGTTTTTGCAAAGATGAGAAGAAGATTTCTGGTATTATAGTTTAGGGATGTCAAGTAAATTCGAGGTAAAGCTGAGGGACGACGAGTGGACTTATTCCTTCTTGTGCTGATAGGGGATTTTTTTTTTAAAAAAAAGGTTAAGTCTGTTTTACAACAACCCCTTCAACTACAAAAGTTCGATTTACCCCTCTCAACCACAAAAACAGACAACATACACCCTTCAACTGTTGAATATGGACACTTAACCCCCTTATGCCCTCTTTCTATTAAGAAGGAACCATTGTGGGGGTAGATTGAGCTCCCTTTCAGATAGGGATGGCAACGGGGCGGGGCGGGCCGGGTTGGGCTGGAACAACCCCGCCCCCAACCCCCGACCCCGACTCGAGATGTAGGGCCAAATCAGGCCCCATCCCCGTCCCCCTCCGGGGCCCCGCATTAGGTAGCGGGAGGCTGGAGGGGAGAGGGAGAGGGCGACCGGGACGGCGAGACCAGAGTGCGTGGTTCTGGTTCATGGGACTCGGAGTCCGGAGGAGAAGGGAGGGAGCGAACGACTGGGAATGGCGAGGGGATGCGTCATGCGTGGTGCCGGTGCGCTGCCCCTAGCGTCCTGCCGCCTCCCTATATGTGATATGGGTGCGCGCACGGGAGATGAGATGGGGAGACCAGAGACTGAAGAGATAAGGCTAGGGTTTCGTGTATATATAAGTATTTTATTGGATTGGGCTCTTTTAGACCTTATATGGGCTACATTGTGAGGGTTAACGTACACCCGCGGGGGGCCGCGGGTGAAATGTCCCCCGTCCCCTCCCCACCTAAATGCAGGGCCCCGGACCCGACTCCCCCGTGGGTCAAAAAATGAACCCACCCCCGCTCCCTAGGGTCTGGTCCCTGCAGGGGACCTGGCTCCATGGAGAAATTACCATTTCTACTTTAAGATATGTATATGGTGTTATTGTTGGCACAATGGAGCTTCACAAACATGACGCCAGTGAGCGAAAGGGCCTGTAGCCTAGTGGTTACAAGAGCCTCAGTAGCACCTGAGGTCCTAGGTTCGACTCCCCATGGGAGCGAATTTTACAGGATTTAACGGCGTTGTGCTTTCAGTAGTAGGCGATGTACCCGTCGACAACGAGGTGCCTGTGGTGACTTTGTCAATCTCTCCAGAATTTGCCGGCCCAGTCTTCGAAGATGCTCATAGGGGTAGGGTTTGCGTGCGTGTGTTCATAGGGATGAGTGCGCGTGCGTTGTGAGTGTTTGCGTTGTACTGTGTAATTTAAAAAAAAATGACGCCAGTGACAGCTGCCAGTGACGCCAGTAAACTAAGCTAGCCCACCAAAAAGCTAGTCGAGCTTCACAAACAGAGCTTCACATATTTATTATGACCTTTTTACACATTAAACTAAGGAAATACATAGCAAAACGACAAAGGCAAAAACATCAAGAGCAGTGCTCAAATTTAGACCACATATCATTGTTTTCTGCTCGCTAGCTTAAAGTAGAGCCAACCGAGGCTATGGATGATGGATCTGTTTGGTGCCTCATTTTGCCACACTTTTTTTTTGCGAGGAATTTTGCCACACTTAAGTTATATTAGTTTGACCAAATGTTTCTTAAAAGAGAAAAGTTTGATCAAATGTGGCAAGTGTTTGATTCATTTCCACAACTTTGACAATACCATACTTTCTATTTTTTAAATCCCACTGTAAACTCTTTTTTAACCAAAGCTTATTAGAAGTGAGATCATCAATTTTTGAGCCACACCTTTTGACATAAAATTGTGGCAAATTAAGGATTTAAGGTGGACATCCAAAGTCCAAACAGACCCATATCCTATCTTACTTTAAAGTTATAACCCACTAACTCCTAAAGCTTAAAATACAAATATGCCACATCATCATCCACTAACAAGTTGACACATCATCATCCACTAACAATCAATGCATTTAGTATCATACAAACATGCTATATTATCTATAATTTAAAATTTATTACATTTTAGAGCTTTTAAAATGAAAGCATGTTAAATCATCATTCCACATAATTTACATAATATTTCGGAAAAAGTACGAATTACCCCCCCCCCCCGAACTATCGCGGTCGTCCGCATTACCCCCCTAAACCACAAAACCGGACATTCTTCACCCCCAACTATGCAAACCGGACGAATTACCCCCCTCGATCCAATCCGTGGTGGTTTTGATCTACGTGGCGTACGCGTGGCAGTCCAGTCAGCATTCTATTTATAAAAAAATGTGGGACTCACCTGTTATATCCTTTTCCACTCTTCCCCTCTGTAGGATCGAGATGTCGACTGGAGGGGGGGTGAATAGGCAATTTAAAATTAAATGACACCTAATCAAAACTAAACTAAGTTGCTAGGCTCGGTGAGGGACAAGACTAACTAAGCAACTAAGTTATGTTTTGCAATCCTAGGGTGAAAGTGGCTCAAGTATATCACTAGGAAAGTAAATCACACTCATATGTCAATGTTTAGCAATCCTAGGGTGATATGATCTCAAGTATGTCTCTAGAAATGTAAATTGCACAAATGTAAATGCGACAATCAAATGAGACAATGAGATAAGAGATTTTTCACCGAGGTTCGGAAACACGCCGGTTTCCTACTCCCTGTTGAGGCGAGCCCAACTCTACCGCTCAACCACGAAGCCACCGCACGCCCCCTTCGTCAAGGGGTGGGCAAGGCGGGAGCCGGCCCATGGAGAGGACTACCCAAGCCTCGATCACTCGGGGTAGTTCTTCCTTCACTCCGAAGGTAGTGAACTCCAAACCACTCACAAACCGGCACCGGGCCTCCTCCACAATCTTCTCGGAGAGGTCACTAGGCAACTCCTCCACAAGCCGTCTAGGAGGCGGCAACCTCCAAGAGTAACAAGCAATGACCCGGCGTGGAGATGATCAAGTGCCACACTAGCTCTACAATGGAAGCAAATGCACTTGACTCTTGGCTAAAACAACCTCAACCACTACAATGGATGAACACTAAGCTCAAAGGTGTGTGAGAGAGATGCAAGGGATTATGCAATTGAATTGGGTGCCAAGAAAGTCCCCTTGCTGCTGGAGGGGGAGTATTTATACTCCCATCAACCAAAACTAGACGTTGGGGGCGGAATCCCCCAACTCAGTGCTCTGCCGATCTGACCGGAGGTATGTGGCCGGTCAGACCGTGCTACTGTGCAACGGTTAGTTTTCTAGCCGTTGCAGGGCTGACACTAGGCCCTACTGCCCTGGCCGGTCAGACCGGCCTCGGCTCGGTTAGACCGCCATCAGCTCGGTCTGACCGAATACGGCTCCAGCGGCTCGAGATCGGCACACCGAGACGGCACCATCGCCATATGGCCGGCCGGTCAGACTGGCCCGCACCTGCCGGTCAGACCAGCCTTGAGGCGGCGGTCAGACCAGCTCTGACTCTGCGGTCAGACCGGCTGCCCTGGCCGGTTAGACCGGCACTAGGTCCACGGTCAGACTGGTCCTTGTCAGGCTGAACTCAAACAGAGAAAAATGTTTGTGTGTGTGTGATGAAATGAGAGCACAAGTCTAAATGCATAATGACCTAATGTGGCAATTAAAATCATCTCTTTGCTAGGTCATTACCCCACTTAATAGTACGGCAAG